TCTTCCGTGTTGGACGACGTGGAACTGGAACTGGAACTGGAACTCCCTCCTTCCTCCTCAGTCTCCTGTGTTGGACGACGTGGAACTGGAACTGGAACTGTTCCACCCGCCCGGGGCACACTCTGTTGACACCAACACCCTTTGAGATTTAAACATTAACCAACGCATCCAGGGATTTGTTTACCAACGCTCTGACAGCGGCTGCCTACAGAAAACTAGACAGAGAGGACTGAGGATTTGTTCCAAAAAAGACAGCCGGCGGCCGCAGAATTCACAAAGCACATCAACGCACCTTACGCATCGAAACAGCTGCGCTACAGGGACAAGATGACTTAAGGGGACCCTGAGATGACCAATGATGTGTTTCTTTCTTCGCGTCCGGTTCAGGTCTTCCTTCAAGTCCACCTCTCCGCGCATGCGTCGCGAACGGGCCAAGGAGGTGCGGCCGAGACTCCGTTCGGTGTCACGTCGTGGGGATTGCCAACGGTACTACTTTCCCTATGGCACCACCACCTGGCAAATGGTCTGAAAAAACGGAAAATGGGAGGGACCCCGAGGGGTTCGGGCCTTTTTCGGCCATCCAGTTCCATTTCAGCATATTCTGTAGCATCAGCCAGGACCTGAGCCGTTGGTGACGTCTTAGGAGGTCACGAACTGACGGGTTCGGAGTTCGAAGTATCGACATTGGGCACTCTGAGTCGAACAGATAACGCGGCTGAGCCACGAGATTTTGGGGTTGTTCCGTTTTGTTGGGTTATCAGTTATCAGCTATCGGTGATGACTCCGGTAAACCGGGCTTTCAAGACAGGTCTCCAGTGGGATCCAGTTGGCGTGCATTGTGACGTCAGTAGATCCACCAGAGGTCGAAGGTCCAAGTTTTATGATCCACCAAGAATGCCATGTCGCCAGCTTTCTGGGGGAACCCATGGGAGACCAGTGGGGAAAGACGAACACCGGTGTTTTCCACTCTGAGTCTGCCGACCCGACGTGCAGGTGGATGTGGTCACGTTGGGTGACATCTCAACCCCGGTCACACCGGCGCAGTTGGTGGACGTGGAACGTCGCGACGGACGTGAAACGTCCAGGATCACCGTTTGTGACCTCCCACTGGAGACTCTGTTTGTGACCTTTTATGCGTTTAACAAAAAGGTGACCGAGTTTTCTGGGATCTCTGGTGGACGGTCACGAACTGAAGGTCCTGGTTGGTCGTTTGTGCTTAAGATGATTTCGCACGGGGTGTTCGCTGGTTTCTTCACGATGTTTCGTGGTTCGTTTGGTTGGAGTGTTTGCTGTTTATGTTTAATACTTGCTTTGGTTTGTGGAACGTGTTTTCCAATGTTTTTCGATTGAATTAACCATGAACCCGACAAGCAAGACTCTCCACACGTTGTTCCAAAATACGAAGGCCTTGAAGTCAACAAAAGATACTACTGTAATTAGGGAGTTCCTGCGGAAATTCAGTGTTGGGAACAGCATGCAGCCTGGCAAGACTTACAAGACTATATATACTCTCTCCAGAACTTACGAAGAAGTAGTTTTCCTATAATATTTATCGTTTAGCATTTTACTGGAGGGTCTGCATGTCATATTTTTGTGTTGGGAAAGACTTCTTCCTCGTAAGCTTGACATGCTAAACTTGCTAGACTTGCTCGACTTCCTCGTTTGTCAGTGCAAAAAACTAGAATGTCCAGAAGCATCTAGCTTCCTCGCCTACTGGTCACCAACTTCCTCGTAAACATTTACTTCCTCGTAAGTTCTGAGGAGTGTAATATCAAAACATCAGAAGACTGGACGAACACGTGAAGGTTCTACATGAGATCATCCTGCGACTCATCGAAGTGAGTCCGAGATCTCCTGCGACTTCCTGGACGACTCACAGTGAATGAACTGATATGATTTGCATGTTTGTCTTCACCGTGCAACTGAATTCGAAGTGCTTGTTTGCTGGACGAAAGGAACAAACTGTGGTCCAACAAGAAGCTATTTTGTGAACAGCAACAACAAAGCTGTCTACACAAAACCTTGACTGTCAAACCTATAAACCTTTAAGACTTGAATTTATCTCCTGGAGGAACATTTGTCCGCAGCTTGAGGATCGACTTGGGGAATACAACATGTGGCTGATAAATTTGGGTTGAGGATTCACCCGGGTAGCGAGCCCCTTTCAGATGATAGATCAGGGACCTGTGCTGGGTGTGATTTTTGCACACGGCCAGGCACCCGGGGAGTATGAGATCAAGGAGTCAGATGAATTGAGTTTTTGGAACAGAAAGATGCAGACCTGTTTAGTTTTGTGTTATTTGAGATTTGAAGTATATAAGAATGTCTCAACCACTCTAAATGAAAGTTGTGGTTAAACTCGGTTAAACTGTACTTGGTTCCTTTCCGTGCTGATAGATGGGGGGAGGGCATACACATCTTGTCTGTACGTGTGCCAGAAAAGGATGTGTTTGGAACTAGGCCTTCGCAAGTTTGGAACAAGAGGGTGACAACCTGCAGCTTGCAGCTTCAGTAAGTTGAAAGAGCTGGTGGGAGGTGCAGCAGCTGAAAAAACAAGACACTGAAGACCAGCAAAGCACCTACAGTGTACAGGCAGACAGCTCAAGGTGCAACAAAGAAACCGGCAATACACAGGCACATGGCTCTGAGACAGACGGTCCAAGAATACAAGACACAGGCAGCACCCAGGCAGACAGCTCCGAGGGTGCATAGATCCCCCTCCACTTGGCCCGAGTTAGTCACTTTGTCAATTCGCTTGTGCTATCTAAGCCCCAGATAATAGCGAACACATTCAAGATCGGGCTTTCTTACTGCATCATGATAGAACAGATTGCTGGGAATGGCGCTTTTCCTATCGAAAGGACAAGCCAGAAAAGAATCCACTCAACACTGAAGTTTGGGGTAAAAGGCTGGAATGCCACAAGTGTATGAATTACCCTCTTGACAGGGTGAGTAGAGAGAAACTTGCAGCCAAGAGAGGCGCAGAACAGAGACGTGCAAAAGCTGCTCCGGCAGTCGATCTGCAAATAGTTTTTGGCTCGAGCGTTGAAAATAGGTAAGCCAGCTCTTGTACTGCAATGGCAGTTGTGTGGGAAAGTACTTTCGAGACACCCCGAAACACATGTCCGAAACAGACCACCAGGTTCAAAACGCATTGCCGCCTACTTTATTTGCGGAAAGTATGTTTCAGGGTCCACTGATCTATGACTGCCGATTTGCACCAGATCTGCCGCGGATTCTCAACCCTGAGGAGCCCAGCTATCGCTCGCCGTACCGGATACCCAGGCGGAGGGCTGAGGAATCGATCCGATTGAAGGAGTTCACGACTTGTCATCCGTTCACACATGAATTCCCAATTGGATGGTGAATAGAGTGGCCGAAGTTGCACAAAAATAAGAACATATAAGGACATGGGTGTAGAACAAATCAAGAGTTCGCCAATTTGCCAAAGACCATGCCCTTAACCCGAAACCTGTTGGAACCCCAAACCATGTCTTTTCGCGAAGTCCCGGACCTTTGGCAGGTCAGAGCACTTGTCATTCGGCTCCGGACAGACCCGTTTCACCGAGAAGCAGGACACCGGGCACGGAGCACGGAGCGGTTTGGTGGGCCGGTGGGGTGAGTGAAAGGGGGGACAACATGTGGAAACTGAAAAGGCCGCAAAAGGCTTTCAAATTTATGAGTCAGTTTACTTTGTGTTAATCCCCCACAGTGCCACAGGAAGTATAAAGACATGAATTGAGTTCCATTAGTTACTTATTATCAAATGGATTCAATTGGAATTATTGTCGCTATTCATTCTCTATATTGTTTTGAACTGGCAGGGTACTTGCAAGTTGTCACGGTGGGTTGTTTCCAAACCATTGAACTTACTGTAATACTAGCACACACTCCGACAATTTGTTTGCATCGTTTTGATTCGTTGGGGTTCCAAAGATGTTTGTCGTTTCGACCATGTTTCGTAGGTCTTTAGTTCCATTTGTTGTAAGTAATATGTCTGACAGTTTCCTTTGTGAGGATGAACCAACAAGGTCGAAAGGAATTGATATTCACTTCGTTAAGGACGAGTCAGTATGCATGAGGACATCCAGGTGGTTTTGTGCCCATGTTTTGTCAGAGAATCGGCTTCTTTGGAGGTTTGTGCAGGCTCGAAAGGAGGCTCGAGGGCCCTCTTCTCAGAGGGTCCTTGTTCGCCATCTCGGAATTCCTCTTTGGAAGAATACAGCTGTGGTTCTTTTTTCGACACTCCAGCCATGGAGAATTTGAAGTTCAAGGTCCAGCAGGTGAAGTATCTTGGAGAGCAAGCAGAATATAGGCCTAGAAGGCTGGAGAATTTGATTTTTGTTTTGTGGCCAGGCACGACAGGCACGAGCCAAGTCGTTCTGGGTTTTCCAGATGCTTTTATACTTGTTCCGTACTTCACTACAGCTTAGCTCCTGGCCACAATTAGTAGGCTCAGGATGCCTCAACATGGCCAATCACACAAAGGACAACCTCCGAATGTATTTTTCTTGGAATCAACCACAAGAGGATCATGGACACTCGTCTATACAGTCTAGAGCCGATCACCTACCTGGATCTCAACATGACACCCGGCACACCTCATCACGGCCGGCACCGTCCGAGGAAGGTCCTCATGGCTGAGAACATGGTCGCCGCGGGCAGCCTGGATCAGCTGGGCTTGTGGATGAACACCCCAGGTACCGCCGACAGCCAAGCTTCACCGGGGCGATGCCATGGCGAAGTTTTCCGGAGAAAGGGAAGTCGAACGAGAGAAGAGGGTATAAGCCCATCCTGTTGCAGGGATTTATATAGAGAAAACCACCATGATTTTGTCAAGTTATACTGTACCAAAGGTATCTGCTGGCGGAACAGATGTGAGTCCCCGAACTGCGGGGTCTATTTTTGACTGAACACTAATTGTGTTTGTTTTGCAATTGTGATCATTTGTGTGCACAGTTGGAAGTGGAAATGGATGGAACTGGCTTTCTTGGAGTGCGTAAAGTATGATTTGTTGTTTCAATTGTCATGTATGCAGTTTGGGATCAGTTTGGGATATCACGTAATCTCACATAATAAATCAGTTTTAGCTGGCTTTGGTTGGTTGGTTCTATGTTTGTTTGTTTTTCTTTAAACAAATTGTTGTTGCCCTGGAAGTCACCGCATTAAACACCGTGGCAGCAACCTGTGTTGTTACACTGTTGTTGCCGCTGCTGCTGCTGCTGTTTTGTTGTTTGCAATTTTGTTGTATGGTTGTATTGTTCCTTTACTCCAGCGGACAAGTTCTTCGATTTCAGTTACCTGGTTCCATCAAACAGTTCAGTCACTCCATGTTCTTGTGTTTTTGCTTTTCTGTTGTGGATGTCCAACCCGCAGATGGTTGAGAGAGCCCAAATGCTTGAACACAACAGATGCTCACAACAGATCAACCTCAAGTCCAAGACCTATGAAACATAACACAACCCTCCAAAACCAATAATTGGTTCGCTCAGCAAAGCTGCGAAATTGCTGGGGCCCCTGAGTTTCCACCTGCTCGAGGGCTTCTGGAGCTTTTCTCCGCCAGCGAGCTGCTTCGTCTCCTCGAGCAAACCTCGCGCTTGAGCTCGAAGCGTTCGAGCGCTTGGAGCTCTGCGCTGGCGGTGGTCACTGAGCTCCATGCTCGCCGCTGGAATAAGGTGGGGGAGACGCTGGGCAGAGCCACTGACATCTGCGAGAACTGTGGAGCACCTTGGACAACCTCGGAGTCGGTGTCAGGCGTGAGGTGTTTTCCGTTGAAACGAGGCCATGGCTTTGCAGCTCTTTCTTCAATGGCTTTGCCATGAGCTGGGAGCCAGCTTAATGTCTCCATTGGTGAACCTTGCGAGATGCCCTCAAAAATAGGAGCCCAAGGGTGTCAGGCTGGTGAGTCTTGGGTGTCTCTGGCGACTGACTTCGGGCGTTTGTTTGTTTTTTTTCTTTAATATCTTTAATCCCTCAGGAGAGCATGGACCAAAACATGTATGACAAAATATACCAGTGATCATTTAGGGACTCCCCCAAATTGGCCTTCAGACCTCTCAAACCATGCCCTTTGAATTGTAACCTCACTCTTCAGAAGAGCTTGGCCTCTTGAGGCCTGGCAGCGAGGGTTAGATCTGCTGAAGACCCTCCAACAGCTGCGCCATCCAACAACTCATGCCGCCAAGTCAGCGAGAGCCTTGGTTGCTTATCCCTAGCGCTCCAACTACCTGCTGAAAAGGTGGTTGGGGTGGATTAAGGGGGTCTAACTACCTTCTGAGGAGGTGTTTGGAGCCGTAGGGTATGGTTGCTTACTTCGTGCTGGGAAGGTGGAGAGCCATGGAGCATGGCCACATCGCATGATCCCTCTCGTCGCTTGACCCGACTGCACGACTGCACCTCACGTCGGCCCGACTGCACGACTGCAATGCATCGGACATCAGTCTGGTTGAAAAAATTGAACATGCTGCTCGAGTTTCGCATCTTTTCAGTCAGACTTCGGTTGCATCATTTTCTGGCTTAACAAAAAAAAACGTGCTACATGTTGCTCCTTCGACCTGTGTCGGATGCATCCTGGACCATCCTTTTGGGGTGTGGTTTGTTTGGATGAGCCCCAATTGCAGTGGTTTCAGAATAGAAGGGGGCCCCCGAGATGTCTTATAGATCGGCTCCATATATATATATATATTCCACTCGGGGGATTGCACCATCTACTCTCAATCCGCTATGCTTTGAGGTTGTGCTATATGACTTGTAACATCTGTAACAGTCAGTGCACAGAATTAAACAGTTACTATTCTTGAACAATAGGCCTGGAACCTAACCTAATCATAATCATCCACTAGTCACGGTCCCTGGGAGGTTAGACCCAACCTATACATGCATTGAGACGACTACCGTGTAGACGGCCACCATGCTTGGACGTTCCGAACGAGGCTGGCGCCTGGAAGAGTTCGCAGGGCCTGCAGGCAGACGTCCAAGGTTGGAGGCCAAGGGTCCTTCCCTACCGCAGGTGGGGATGAGGAGGATGAGCTTGGATGATGGCTGTATCTGGCTGTACAGGGAAGAAATGAAGCTATATATGTATATAGTTAATCAAGAGTCTATGTTTAAGTCTATAACATCAGTCATCATCCATCAGTTAACAGTAAGGCCATTGCAATCCATTCCAAGAAACTCATCATCCAATGATCCATTGCAGCCAACAGTAGGAAGTGACGGGATGTCGCTGTCGCCGCGGCCGAATGGCTTCAGGTGTTGAAGCAACGGCAGATGACTCGCCTTCGCCACACGGAGCCCAACGAGGCGGATCGGCTCATCTATCGGTGTCGAAGGAAGGAAGCTGAAAAATAATAATGTGAATGTGCTCAGCAGGAATGAATGGCCATATGTAAAGCCTATAGGCTTATATGAATGGCTTATGTCATAGGATCTCAGCAGCCATATGTAGCCATTCATCCATGTTGCACTCCCAAATCGGGTCGACTTCACCCCGGCTTCGGTCTCCGCGTTCTCCGCGATCCACGTGGCACGTGCGACCGGACCGAGGTCTCCGAGTCCGTGGAAGCGCTACAGCGATTTCACCTGGAGCCTCGCGACTACGTGTGGATTTTGGAGAAATACAGCAAGGCCATGTGTGTTCTTCTGTTTTTGTGTGTGTGTGTCCCACCCTGGACAAAGGGTTTTTCCACCACCTTCGTTCCACAAGCAGGGGGGCCAGCGCATGACATCACGACGCTGGCCAACGAAGCTAGTGATGTCATGGGATGCGGTCAGAGACGTCTGACCGTGTACCTGCCAGGAAACTGTTGCTCACGCTGTCCACTCTTTCGGTTTGTTTCATGGTGTTTCATGTGATCCTTCCCCTTAAACAGGTTTCCCAACGCAGACTTGCAGCCGACTTGCCGCTTTGCCGGCGTGCGCTTTCCGCAGTCACGTAGGAAAACCTTTTGTTAAAACATCTACAATTGCGCTGACTTTCCACCTTACCGTTGAGCCATTCCTTTCTTCCAGAGATTGCATTAACTGAAAATCAAAGTTCGAAGTGTGTTAGATTTATATTTTTTGGCAGACTGATGGGTTGGGATTTAACAGGGATGTTTATGTCTTTTTACTTGAAGGCTAAGGAAGCGTCATGAGCTCGTGTACATTTCAGTATATCCACACCAACAATTTGAACCGAGCCCAAAACTATACAGCACATGATAGCACATGATAGCGAGAAGAAACGTGTCCAGCACAGTGAGGATGAGGAGCCAGCTGTTCCGGCAACGAATGGCTCCTCACCCCATTTGCCGTTCGAAGCTCGTCCGTTCGAAGTACAGACGTCCGGGATTTCCTTCACCTGTTTTCAGCGAGTATACATGCTGCATGTTTAGCATACAATGTATGTTTAAAGGGGATGAGTATGAGTATGTCTGAGCGTCCAGATGACTTCAGATTCCTGAACCCAAACTCAGTGAGGATTTTGATGTGTTTGGTTCGTTTCAGATGCATGTGGGCGTACATGGAATCGTATATAATTTGGTCAAAGCTTGAGCTATCGATGCCCTTGCACAAAAAGACCAACCGGCTGCACTAAAGAGTAACCTCTTGGCTCTTCGAAGGGACTGTTCAACTCTTGCAGTAGTGCACGCTGGTCTTGGGATTTGCTTTGAACAGATTATACTAATTTAGGAAGTGTCTCAAGTCATAGTTGTGACATGAGTATTTCTATCCACTGTGTCGAACCGGCTGGACACAGAAGAACGGATGCCTCTCTCAATAGCCGGGAAAGTGTTGATACCAGTGGAAGCACCAGACCTCCTATTTGAACAGCTGGGGATTTGGTTCAACACAGGCAGGCAAAAGCTTCTCACATGTTGGAGTGGGCGCCATAGCCTCAGACATGCAGATCTCCCAATCTCATAGGGTTCCAATCAAAAACACACTTGGCCAACTCTTGTTTTGAGGGAGAGCTCAGCTGGGGGTGGAGCATACTATACTCCCATTGATGGATTATGGAGTACTACACTTCAACAAGATTTGTACATGTTGTTTGAAAGAGCAAGCACAGTGAATCCATACGAATACAGCGTTTGTTCTTTTTCGTGTTCATGTTGAAAAGACAACCCTTTAGCTTCAGATCTAAGACTGAATTTAAATCGGACCTGAACAAAGACCAAAAACAATTAAGTCTCAACCATGAGGTGCTCTAATTAAACCACTTCCAAAGTAAGCAGCATTTGGTTTGTGCCACCTGAAAAGCAAGTGCGCCTTTTCAGTTGGAACATGTTCGATTACCCCTTTGTGTGACGTTTTCACTCATGTGGAAGGGCATCTATCAAAGCTGCCTCACTGCGTGACCTTCACCAAACTTGTGACCTTTCACTGAGCGGATTCATCAGGTCTTTGCGTGGGAGAAGGCGTTGGCCTTGTTGGATGACATGCGAGTCGCGGACTACCATCCAGTCGTGGACCATTACAACCGAGCATTGCTGGCCTGTGAGCGGGCCAATCAATGGGAGCAAGTGCTTGGGCAGAAAAGCGCCCTGCCGCCCTGCTGGGGAGGTCCATGTGGAAACTGAAAACGACTAAGTTTGTGGGAGCTGGACTCTGGACGCAGCTAGTCTTCCAAAGGTCCATTTTCAGGTTCCATATGAATCTTCCCGGATGTACAGGGTCTCGCAATCTTCTCGCATGGTTTGATCAGCTTGTGGAGGATTGTAGTGAGGATTGTATTGATTTGACTTTTCTCAGCGGACACAGTTCTTCAAGATGCATACCCTTGAGGTTAACAGTCTCCCAAAAGGCCCTTGCTAGCTGTGGTTGGTCGTGAGCAAATCCTGACTCAGAGATATCAAGAACACAATTTATGGTTTTTCCATTCTGAAGGAGAGCCAAGAGTCCAAGAGTCATGAGATTATCATGAAAACAGATCCAATTACTGTGCTGATAGGAGTAAGAACCAATTTGACTATCCAAAAATCATGTGCACCAGAACTAACTCTCTCTCTCCACATATACCTCCACAGAGGGGGATGATCAATCCATCTCTTCGATTGTCAAGACGGACCCAGTCCACTGCCACTGCACCTCGCCCAGTCCGCCGCAGTTGGCTCAGGTCATGCAGATCTGGGAAAGCTTGAAGGTCGGATGCCCGCCTTCCGCTGCCCGCAGTGCTGCACGTTCCGCTGCCCGTGGTGCGTTCTCCCCGTAGGAATTCACCGGTGATGGATCCCCTGTCGTTGCTTTGTGATCCCTCAATATGGAAGGAATCGTGTTGTTTTTGAACCAAGAAGAAGGCCACCATTGACGAGGATGACGAGGATGACTGATGACTTTCCTGGTCGAGTGAAAGTTGTGTCGCTGTGTTGTCTCCCTGTACAAACACCAGACTCACTCAGTGATTCATGGTGGGAATGTGGTGGTGGTCAGAATGTATTTGGGAGGTGGTTACTTGCTCGGGAATGGTTGTGTATGAAATTGTCCACTGTTGGGGGGGATATCACCAACCAGGGAGACAGGCTGGGCTTCTCACGTGCTCGATGCGTTTGCTCCGTTGTAGTCTTCCATTGCATTGTGCAGTTGAGCCTATTGAAAAACATATGAGCGACGGACAAACTTATTGGTTGACTTATTTAGTGACCCTAAACCTATGTTGAGGGCTTTGTTTCTGTGAAATCGATATGGTCCCCACCAAAAACGATAATTGTGTTAAGATGTAGTGGGTACAAAGACGTTTGTGGTTACAATATATTACTGTTATTGCATTTGTTTAAAAGCATATTTGAGCTAAACTGATGGGCACAACTGTTCATCAATGATAATCACAGACAACTTCCCAAACGATAATCCAAACGATAAGCGAACGATAACCTTAATTTAAATGTCATTCCAGGCACGCTGTAGACCTACTTCTCCACATTACTAGTGTTTGTTCATGGGCCGAGCTACGAGGTCCCCACTTATTTGTTGTGATCCTTGCACAGCCCAGTGCCACAAGAACCCAAATGCATAAATCAAGTGCTGTGCCATTCCTGTGCAGAAAGCACTGTAAGCCTCTAATTTGAGGTTGTGAGTTATGTTTTGTGCATTCGTCTATGTGCTGGTATGCTATGCTAACTACGGTTTGGAGGAACATTGGAGAACGATATGGACCCCAACAAAAAACGATAATCATGTCTAATATATAGAGAGAGAACCACACTTGAGTATATAGACTTTTACAGGTGCACGATAGAAGCTTCAACAAGTGTCTCCTTTTCTCCCAATCTTTGGAGGTGCATCCATCTCCACATCTCCAGGTGTCTGGAACACCTGACCGGATGAGCTTCTCAGTGCTGCTGACACGAAGTTGCCAGCTGAGCCTTTGGCAGGACGCCCTAAGATTTTGGACCCTCGGCCACAGATCCCGGTTGCTTGGGTTGCTCGGGGAAGGGGTCCTGGAAGGTGCTCCTTTTTCGCAGAATGCCAGGCTTGGAGCCTTGCAGTCTGAGTACAGTGCGGAGAGCAGAAGTGTTTTGGGGATTGAGGGATGCATCCTGGGGATTGAGCAGGGATGAGGGAGGTGACACGATTGGATTCATCCTGATCTTCCCTAAGGTAGATACCTTATATACCTTGGTCCGGGACACTGGGAGGATTGATTTACAGGGTTGACCTGGTGTTTGATCGTTTATCCTGGACATGCTATTGGCTCCAGTGGTTTCTAAGTCATTTGTATAGAACCAACAGCTTTGCGTTGTGGCAGAACCAGACAGGAAATCCGGAAAAATCCCGCCAGGAAGGACATGGGCCCGGACATGGCGAATGAGATGGTTTGCAGTCAGATCATGCGCGCTTGTGGCCGTGCTGGGAAGTGGGAGATCGCGCTGGCCCTGATGGATGTGATGCAGGCGCCCTTAAGTTCTTCAATCGGGCGCCATGTCCTTGGGTAGAATGGATAGGTGAAGGACTACGGGTGATTAAAATCACACATTATGGTGGGGGAAACTGACTTTGTGGAAGACCATGGTCCTCTGAAAAGATCGAGGCTGGACGAGGATCGATTGCGTCCTGATGCTTCAAAAGTTTGTGCGATAGGTCCCAATCAGAGGGGCTTTCTGCACCCCACTAGGTTCATCGTGTCGAGACCTTCTTGTGTTCTACCGGGGTATCATATGATAAAACGGATTTTGCATGATTTTGCCAAACAATTCAGATTCTTGTCATGCCTGATTTTCTTTCACAAAGCATTTGCTTGGATGTTTCCCAAAGATGCCATTTGCAGTGCTGATACAGCAAACCGGCAAAATCCACAATCTGTCATACCGATGAAAAACATGATCCAGGCGAATCAAAATAGAAATCAAATATCAGTTTAAAATGAAAGATGGGATCTGCAGTCATGGCCATGGCACGTTGGGCAATTGGAGTTTCTTTTGTCTTGGACAGGGTGTACTCAAACTGCCTCATGCTGATATACTTCAGACCTATGCTCAGAGTTGTTTCCTTCAAACTGCCTCACTCATCTCAAATCCGTTTTGGGTTAAGATGTTCACAAACCGAAGGAACTCCTGGTTGACCACACAGTGATCGGTTTCGGTTGACCGGTTGACCACCTCATGAGCGGTCGAAAACCCATGCTGTGGCTAGTGGTCGGTGTCCAAAACCCATAGGAACGATAGTTTCTCAAACATGATGTGGTGGTTCACTACTAGAATGTGGTGGGACATGTCGTCTCTTCTCTTTTTGTTGGGGGGGGGAAGCACTACTTCATAGTGCCAAAGCCCGAATGCCGAGGCGTTGGCGGGTGGAATTAAACCAGAATTTCGGGAATAGGGGCGGTTGCAGTAGCTACCCTCACTTAAAGGTTCACAACACCTTTGACAGTGGATCCCTCACCTTTGCGAGTGGATCCCTCTTGCATGTCCATGTAGGGTTGAAGCTGTGAGCCGACTTTTAGGATTTCCATGGGTCTACCTACCAGACGTGGACTGAGACCCACAATTCTTTGAGAGCTGGTGACACCCCCCCGATCTCGACAGGATCAGGAGATGGTTCTGGACGAGGTGCAGGGGGTCATGCACTCGCTGTCTCAGGAGCAGTGGCAGATTTTGAGGGGTAGACACCACGGTCGAGTTACAGCTCTCGGTCTGATTGAACGCTTCGAAAGGATGGATGGGCTTATCCAGATATGTCCTTCTCACCTGTTCTTTGTTCTACCATGTTCTATCGTCCATGTTTCTTTTGCTTGGGGACCATTGCTGTTACCTTGGAGGCCATCGCTTCCAGGGTGGAGGCCATCGCTCTTGGGTTGGAGGCCATCTCTGGTAGGTCGGAGGCCATCGCTTCTAGGTTGGAGGCCATTGTTATTAGGTTTCTACCGCCCATGTCTCTTTTGCTTGAACCAATGCAGACCATCGCCATGGACCGGAGGTGATCTACGGGACGGCGATCCAGGCATGCGAACGGGTGGCTTGGACCGTGAGAACGAAGGGAGGATGAGGCGAACGGGACTTCCTGGCGAGTTTGATGAGACGATTTGTGTTTAAATGTTGTTTTCATCATGTTTTCATCTATATACGCTCTCTCCAACTTGGGTGTGCTGGGTTATGGAATGTTGTTCACACACACACACACACACGTATCCCGCCTTTTGTCTTTGTGGATTTGTCCAGTTTTGGCTGCTTGGAGAAGGACTTTGGCCCTTGGCTTCGACCCGTGGGAATGCAGAAGACTCAGTGTGAAGTCTTTTTGTTGACCATCTTCGAAATGCTTCGTGTGCTTCTGAGCTTTGAAAGGTCTGTCCAAACCACCAAGAACCTGGACCTGTGCGGCCCACTGTGAGTCGTCTATTCGGGTGAATCTGAGTCGGTGGCCTCTTGGGGGTTCACAGGTGTTTAGATGGACAAGACCGACGGCGGGGGGGTTTTCACTTCGGTGGCCCCTGTGTGTCGACTCAGGCCCGGAAATGGCAACATGCCCTGGCCTTGCTGGTCACCTTACTCCCTGTTGAGCGCGCACGTCAAGAGGAAGGTCCTCAAGTGGACTTCTTGGGCTGCCCGGAAGGAAAGCTGAAAGCATGTGCGATGTTCTTCAGCCAGTAGAGTGTCAGACTGGGAGTCAGCCTGGAGGCACTCCTAACTGAACTTTCGAGGATCAGTTTGTTCCAAGAATCTATATTGTCCGTCCACTTTGGAGATGGTTCCAAAAGCAAACGATTTGATGTCATCCAAAGTCTCGGCCTGATCAGAAAGATCAATCTACTTTGTCCAGGTTGGTGATGTTGCTCTTGGACATTGGGTATGGGTATGTAGATTATTTTGCTTATAGGTGGAGTGCATGGCTGCAATGCTATCGCCGTGTTGATGATGTTCTTGTTCTTGAGCTATGATTCCAGGCAAAATACAAGAACAAACTGAAAACTGGGAGGACAAGGAGTGGGCAAAAGATGCTTGTGGGCTTCCTGCGTGGCACCTCTTAAGCGGGGATCACTCAACATTTGGAGACCATAGAGGCATAGACCATGGCATTCCCCGATTCGTGACATCCCCCCTTGCTGGTTGAACGCGCATGAACTAAAGAAAGCACAGCCAAAGCCAAAAGGTTTCAAACACCTTTTCACGAGGTTTCCCACTGATGGCGGTGCTGCTTGTTGTCATGTGATCAGTTTCGTTTTGTTTTGAACGCAACCTGCAGATTTTGTTTTCGGCTGCGTATCTCGACATCCGAGGCTTGACAGAGGAGGATTGGGATGTGATTGAGTCGCTTGAAGACGAGACGAGTGATCCAAGAATGGAGTTCCTGCAACTCGTCAAGCAAAAACTGTTTGGCCAATGAATTGGCCAAGTCGTCGTGCCAACCCATGCCGTGAAACTGTGAAGCTTATAGATACCTTAGATGTGTAACCGCGAAGCTCCAGATATGAGCAAATGAAGTTCAAAGCAAAGACTACAGACACACCACATGAAGTTCAAAGCAAAGATTGACTGCTGGCTTTTCCATTGATGATGTAGACTGGTGATGAATACCCGCCCCGGATCCGGAATGGTTCGGATCCCATGTCTGAAATAGCCGTCAACATGGGTTTTACGGGGGGGAGCACATGGCTTTCTGGAACGAATCACGGAAGCAGCGCACAAGCTCGCTTTCCCCATCCGATTTAAGCTACGCGGGCCAATAGGTGACGGGTAGCGAAGATCTGCGAATGGACGTGATGGGAGATCCGATTTTGGGAGGTGAAGAATACAATTTAAAACATCTCAACTGATTTCAGGCTCTGGGGTGGGGATGCGATTTCTGGACGAAATGGGAGGAACACACATAGACGGTGCATGTGTTTTTTTTTTGTGGAACAGATGAGAACTTCCTGCGAGGGAGAGGTCACAGATTCTGAACAGGAATGAGGAAGCTACCTAAGTAGCTCAGCCAAAGTAGTCCAGGCTTTGTTCCAGTACGTAGCACCTATAGAAGCAGGAATTGCTGCTCGCTGCGGCATCTAAGCCTTGTCATTGAGGAATCCTTCACACGAACCGTCCTACTTGTCACAGATAACAAGTAGGACCTTAGGATGCACAAATTCAAGACTTGAATGCCCAGTTTTTTGTGTGCAAGACCCCGTGTTCAATAATGGCGTTTAGAATGTTTAGACATTGTTGCTGCAATGTCCTACCGGCAAATGCGCATTTGTGCTTTGCCTTTTCTGCATTATGGAGAACTTTGAGCGGTATCCAGTCCAAAGACTGGTGACATCAGTTTCTTGCAGCATGGTTCTGTGCAAGGAGGCGAGCTTTGCATGTCAAGAAGAGCTCCATGTTTGACAGGTTTACCATGACCCATCCCGTCCCCAGACTCGCCCAAACAAGAGGGAGACACATGGTTTAATCCACATGTCTCGACACAAGGTTTAATGTTTGGAGGTGTCATACTTAAAAGTGTCGATGTCATGTTGCTCAGGTGAGCCTGCATGAATAGGATGAGTGGATTTGCCAGAAGAGCCCAGGTGGGATGAATTCAAGGATCTCTATGGAATTGAAGAGGAAGAGGAAGAGGTGACTCCGGATTCTGCAGTCGAAGCAGTTCTACGGACGCTGGAGGTCCAGGAGAACTCCGGTTCTTGTTCGTGTTGGTTTGCGGTGTGAGGGAAGCTATCCGACAATTGCTGAATGAACTCCAGGAATGGGCTATCTTTGGACCATTTGGGGATAGGAACAGGGATTTTGCATGGGCGAGAACACACGGCTCACAGCTACACCCTGCATAGAGACTGGCGAGAGCTTTCAAACTATTTGGTTGACCAAACCCCATGCAGTTCCCAAAATCTGTGCTGTGATGGGTTTGGTTCGGGTATATCCCATGACCAGCAACAGTTGGTAGAACATGCTCAATGTTTTCGAGATGTTGGCCCTTTAACGAACCATCATTTTGCTTGGGCTTTTGTTGGGGATATACCCAAGGTCCTGAGGCCTCCTCAGTGTAAACCACTCAAGCTCAAACTACCCGAGCTCGGCAGCAAGGACCGAGACGCGAGCGATCGCCGTTTTGGAGGACGGGCCGGTAGACCACGGTAGCCGCATTTGGCACCTCAGGAGCCCCACATCTCTCCCAATTTACCCATCTTCAGCAGCACAGTCAGGGCTCTTTCTCGAGGCGCGGCGCGCGCGGCGCGCGCAATCTGCATCAGCTGATTCAACATGATGAAAAGCTGCGATGAAGTCGTGAGCCTTCTACAGAAGAAAACCCTAAACCCCTTCCCCTAAACTCATCGCTCCCGAACGTGTAGCCGCGCATGTTCATCGCGGCGCCTCATGCAAGCGCTTCGCGGCAGCGGGGCCTTCGCCTCGTGGTTAGGCTTTCAAGTGGCTCGAGCGTTGGACATTCTGGAGCAGATGGCTTGCGCAGGGATACAACGGTTCCTCGCGACCATCGACGATCCACGCGAAATTCGACGCGGTCGACATGGCGGAACTATTCCGATGGAACGTGCTGCAACGATTCAGACAACATCAGACACCTTGGTGCTGTTCTCCAGGCAGTCCCTGCATATATTGTTCTTTTTGTACCACCACATCGAGTATAGAATGGAATTCTTGACCTGAGTAATTAGGTAGGACGACAACAATGTTTGCTCCGTTGCTTTGAACTGAACAACCATTCAGCCACGCCTTTAACGGTCTCAGAAGCCAAGGGTTAGGTTTGTTAATCTTCTGGATGGAAGATGGGTCAAAAGGCTCAGATTGCTACGCCAACAGCCATGTTCAGGTGGGGCATACCCCATAACCCAAAAGGCCCAGTGAATCAAAATCGCTGCTTGGGTTCTGTGCCCAGATGGTGCAGCAGAATTGGTCTGTCAAGCGTGACATGTCAGTGGACATTGGCCATTGGCCGACTGCTTCAAAGTCAGGAAACAACACCCAAAGTCACCTTGGGTACATATAACACTTCTCTACCAACACTTCAAAAGGATTCAAAAGGAAGCTTCTTTGCGCAGCTCTGCAACTTTGAAAGATTTGACTAGTTTGTCGGTCGGTTCGTTGGTTGGCTGGCTGGCTGGTTGGTTGGTGGTGTTTTGATCGTGGAGGATGGATCTATGCCTGCCATGTCCACTGGAGACACATAGCACAGCATCACAGCGAATGTACGGGTCATGTTCGAGCTCCGCACTATCGGACAGCAAGAGCGTTTGCAATAGGCACCGGCCCTCCTGGGTTTGAACGACCCATCATCCCTGCCCCCCAGACCTAGGGATTTGATGTTGATGTCCGACTTTGCCACTGGTTGTGCAGATGCTTGGCATTCCTCCCTGCAGCTGCTGGAAGCTTGCCAAGATCGGGCCAGGTGTTGTTTGTTTCAGCGCCAAGCCGCTTGAGTCATTTGAAACACTCTCATGGCTTATCATGTTTTGACATTTGAGACACCAGTTCTGATTGGGGTATCATTATCCTTTGCCTGTTCAGCGCCGATCCCGTTTTCTTCCCTTAGGGCACAATTTGCCAGGGAGGTGGTTGTGACCACGGGCCAAAGTCTATACATGTTTTAGGTGACTCTAGATGCTCAATCTGGACCCTGCAAATGCCTGTTGATGCCAGAGATGGTCCAATGGTTCCAATCTTCCATCGGTTTGACAACGGATCTATGGATGATCTATGCCCACCGGGTGGATACGGTCTCGCAGAGGGGTTGATCAACACTGCGTGTGACCTCGCAGATGTGGGATATGATCTTCTGATCCCCTTGAATCCTCATTGACATATGATCCTCTTCGGGGGGTGATGGGAGACACTTAAAACAAACATGTGTTTAAGTACTTTCTGAGAAGGTATATGGATCCCTAGAGGATGTTCTGGCCGATGTTGCACCAGGTGCAACGATATTTCACATCGGAATTGTTAGACACAGCCCTTCACGTGTCAATTTGTTTGCTGGTGTATGAAGGTCGTATATATTATGCTATGGAACTACTAGCAATTGTTCGTACACAGGGGTTTAATCAGTGAGAAACAAAAAAGTATATACATTTACATATATTAAAATGTTCATGTATCAGTTACAATCAGTGGTAGATCCAGATCTATGTAGCTCAAGTCCTTTCCAGAACAATAGACTCTCGTCTCCGGATCGTGGAAACACTGTCACTGAACTCCGTGACCGCGGCCGCACGTGGTTTGAGGAGGACGTGCTGGACAAGGGAGATCTCGTGGTGGATACTCCACTGATCAACGCCGTGACCTGGGCCATGACCTGCGCCAAGTGCTGGACGAGGGCACTCGCGTCTCGGCAAGGCAAGCAATGGACGGCCCTAGGTCTCACGGGTGGGGTTGGTTTTATGCCCTATGTAGACCCCCAAATAGATAGAAAAGTAGATCCCCACTTAAAATATATTGGACACCGTTTCTATTTATTTGGAGATCGCAATATTTTCTACGGATCACACCCTACTAGCAGGCCTTCATCTGATCCCCTTAACTGCAGGGCTTTGGGTGGCCGTGCCAGACATTTTGCCTAGGTGGGGTAGTATCCGCCACGTGCTACTATGCAGGCCCCCAAGGGCTGGTTCATCCCTTTCTCGGCACGATAGCAGCACAACGTCTTGCAAACGGACCGAAGGAGTTTGGTTCAATCGCCAAGGGTTTTGGGGACCGGGGGGTTACTGGCAAATTCCGGGCATGGGAAGTCAAGAATTGATTGATTTGTTCATGAAGAAAGCGCCAGTCAGCTGAAGAAGCAATTTGGGGGTGCAAGACGGTGAAGCATTAATACCCTGCTTTGTTACCTCCCTGATATGCTTCAAGAGGTTTGAAGAAGGTTCAGTTGTAAGGACGGAAGGGATCTCTTTGAGTGCAGAAGTAGCTTGGAATCCAACAAATTTTGAGAAACCCTGACCCTACCTACCTGCCTCAATTTGGGCTCAGGAAATGCGCCAAGTCTTGGACAACCAGAGTCTTCGACCCAGCACAGTGTCCTGGTGCAGAGATCGATGGGCGCGACCCGAGCCACGTGATCCTCCGCCCACAATGGGCGAATCCTGAGCGATCCTGGGCACGACGGAAGATTCATTCCTTGTGTTTCTTTTCCAACGAAGTCAATTGAAGCACCCCTGAAGTTCAATAGTCTTCAGAAGTGGCCTACATGGTCGTGTCGTCAATGAAAAAAAAACAGGTTGTCTCTACATATTTTGGCGTTGTCTTTGCATACCTGGAGGCTCGATCAGCTGCCAGCTCCCTCAGAACGAGCTAGCTAGTAGTAGGGAGCTCCCAAGCAGTTGAAGATGTTTCATCGGTTTTATAGAACAAGCTTGTACAAGCCTACTAGAAACATCCAATAACTACCCACCAGCATATAGAATACTACAGTTTTATCATGTTATACAATATAATATATATATATATATACTGTATGCATTTGTATGCAATGTACAATATATAGAAGCAACTAATTAAGCGTGGTCATTCAGACGCATTCAGATGTGTGGTACAAAAGGACCAGAGTCAGTGGGCTATAGCCCCGCATGTGTTGCTGACTGCTTCAGCCTGCGGCCAGCCGGTCGTTGAGCGTGAAGGTGGGGGGGCTGTTTAGACGAGACAATCAAGCGACATTGACACCAGGTCACGTTCAACACCTTGCTGACAGCATGTGTACAAGCACGCGCAGCAGCTGCTTGTCAAGCTTTGCTCCAGGACGCTTGGATTGACTGAGCTTGGGAGGGAGGTGTAACAATGTGTCAAAACTAACTGAAGGTCCTGGTAGATGTGTAGATTGCATAAATGTGCTGGGCAGTTGTTTGATTTACCTCCTGTGCACTGTGCATCCTGCGTGTTTTTTTTGTTTAATAATCATCCTAAGAGTGCTATGATGGAAAGGAATCGGCGTATTGGAATCTCACAAATGCCACTTGACAAACAACAAATGGGAAAACAAACTGCGATTTACACCGGGAACGGTGTTCTTTTGTACTTGTCCCTTTGTTTGGATTGAGGAGCTGCAGCGGTCTGAGTGTTTGCCCAATCAAGACACCGAGAAGCTCATAGCAGAAATACGGGATCAGGTGACTTGGAAGTCTTTCAATCAGATCCATAGATGGGTTCGTACCGGGATCCGTCAAATTGATGGATTCTTTCTGGCCGGATGGATTCTTGATGAGAATTTATACGATTAGCTTTGTCTTTTGGGACTTTGCCCTTAAACTGGTGAGGTGATGAGGAAACATGGAATGTAACATGTGAAGACCCACCACACACAAGAAGATGGGGGGGAAGCATATAGTGGTAGCTAGTTCCTTATGATTAAAAGTAACATGGTATGAATCCCTTTTCGAAGAGGTTTGTTTGCCTCTCACGTTCGCGAACGGCGCTCCACCGGATCGCGAAACACACGGGCACCGCTTTGGTGGGACGTCCCACTGAGTACCCCTCAGTCTGAGATCCATGGGAGATGACCTGAATAGGAAGAGTTCGATAGAAATCGTCAGCAACACTGAGCGAAGAAGACCACAATGGGTTCGACATTGCTCTTGGATGCTAGACTAGTGGTCGATGTATGTTCATTGCCCCCCCAAAGCCAGGGGGGCATGGACCTGAAGTTGACCAGATCGTACCAGATACTTTTCACACCTCGCACCCAAACCATACCAGCCATGAGGCACTCAAGGCGGTGGACCATTCACCTGAAGCAACACGCAAAGAGCGCGTCCAGAGCGCGTCCAGCGCGTCCCCCCCACAGAACATCATAGAACTTGTTCAAGTGGTGAATGAACCTTGACTTTGTTTTTTTTTTGATCAACAACTTGAGAACTTGAAGGAGCCCTCTTTCTCCTCCGGCTGCCCAAGGGTGGTGAATTTGGTGGTTGCCCCGGGTGCCGACCGGGCTGAGGTGAAGATCCAACCACTCCCGACCTCGAGACAGAAGACGGCCATGCCCAAGAGCTTGGCGAAAAAGGTGAAAACGCGGACTGCGGAGGCAAACAGCAGCGGCCCAATGCTCCGGGGGAGCTGCCTTCCGGCGTACACATGGGAACACTTGGTTCCCAGTTTTTTGCAGAGGTGCAAATATATCGAGGGCCAGAAACTGTTGCATGATAGTTTTTCAGATAGTTTTTCAAGGAGACAACTCGAACAATTCATCCCACCAAGTAATTTCCAGTTTTTTTGAGCTACTCGAATTCGATTAAAAGACAACTACTCTTTTGGCACTGACAAGTCCTGCCGCTGCAATAGCAGTTTTTTTGTGGCCTGGAATTCATTTTTGGGTGGGTAGATGGCGATCTCCTCCAACTTGGAGTTGCGCCACTTATTTGTTTAATGAGTGTATTACGTCTCTCCCTTGCAAATGCCCCCCCACAGACACCGATGGCCGCATCCAAGCAAATTGCTCCCAAATGTTCCCCAACACCTGAAAAGATGCCATTTGACGTGCTGGATTGATTCTGGTGCCTGTGAAAATGATGAACAATGCAACAAAACACAACATATAGTTTTGAAGCCGAAGTTTCATCAGGTTGTATATAGGCCATTCCTGTGAGCCAACACACGCTGCCAGACGCACCAACCCAATACTTCCATGCTACCATACTTTTCGTATTTTCTTGACACCTTGTTGTGTGCTTGGTTCTGTCAGAGCACTCGAGCCTCAGCGAAGCTAAACACAACCCAAGTTGATACAGCCCACCCAAATCCCAACCTCCCATATCTTACCCTCTGTTCGCTTCAGGACGTTTTCGGCCCAGTCTTGGAAGGCCCTGCGCCCAACCAGTACAACACGCCCGGCAGCCCGGCGGCTCGCGACGCGGCGGCTCCCGGCTCGCGACGTGGCTCGGCGTTCGCACCAAGGATCGCCTCAAAGAGGCACATCCAAGGAGCTGCGTCGCTCAAGGAGTGGACGGTGGGGCCGTTGGGGACGGTGGAGCCTCAAAATGGGGTTAAGGGGCCGGGGGAGGTGATGCAAAGAAGTTGGATGGAAGAGGTAAAGTGAAAGTGAAATGGCATCCAAATCCAGTTTGGCCTGGCTTCTTTGATCCTGTGTGTGTTTCTACCTGAGATTCCACAGACCTTCTCAACCTGAGGGAAGAAGAACCCCTGCCACAACATAGGACAAGCGGAAGCCCATGCTGGTGGGCTCAACAGCCAGCAGTGCTGGGTGCCTGAGGAGTGTCTGAGGGGTGCCGGAAGGGGTGCCCCAGATGCTGATGGATCGGTAATTGGATCAGAAGACTTGCAGAAGACTTCAACTCAAGTGACTGGCATGCTCCCCCCAAGGCTGCAAGATCCAAGAGGTTACAGGACCAAACATGGGACCTGACACATGCGATTGGCAATGTGTGTTTGTTTCAATCCAACCATTAGTAGGTAGGGCGATATTGACTATACGGTCATGTCAATTCTCAGACAGATGATTTGGAGTCCTTTGTTCAAAGACCTCGTAACCGTGGAATTGATATAAACACGGGTAAATAGTTCCCATCTTGGACAAGTAGAATCGCCAAAGTGCCCTAGAAAATTGGATATTTGACATGACCCTGGAAAAGAAGCTGGGTACTTGATGGTAGTTGTACCACCCCTTTTCCGAGGTACGTTGGATTCCTCCAGGTATGGACCTGGTGCTCTCACTGAGCCAGTCGTCGCGCTTTCTTCGAGTCGCTGAGAGGTAAACCTGTGCAGCTGGAGCCTGCAACTCCAGGTCAGGTATATGAGGAATTTCTTCTCTTCCATGTTCATTGATCTTCCTCTTCCAGTGCTGCGTCCGTCCGTGTCAAAAAGGTCCCGTTCTGGGAAACCGAAGCGTCCCATCCACGACCACCACTGAGGTCCAGATCGTGGTAGACCCAGAAAACACCCAGACTGCCATCCACGGGTCCCCATCCGTTGGGTTCGTTCACAGTTCGTTCACGCGCTCAGGTGGGTCCAGGAAGTTATGGCGAGCATGTGGACACGATGCTGTTGAAGAAGACCTACAATGTGACGACCCAGGCGCCTTATCTCAACAACTTCTTAGGTCTTCTTAGGCCATCGACCGACCTTTTCACCTCACCTCTTAGAGTCAAGTCAACGGTAGTAAGACGCGAGGTGTTGGATAGCTGCAGCTACACCATGAAGGTTTAGCATTCACAGCGGAACGATGTCTGAGGTCCCCCCCAAAGGCTTCCAATGCGAGCGATTGTTTTGTTTCTCGTGGATTCATGATGTTGTAACCTATGGAAGCTTCAAGGTGGCTAGACGATGAAAGCGCTTGTTAATATGATTTCCCACTGGGGACGGGGAAGAAACTCAGCCTCTCTTGCATTGACGGTCCTTCTCCGCTCAAGTTCGCCAGTTTAGAGGTTTCTGGGAAGGCAAAAAGCACTTAGGGACCTTGCGATTTCCTGAAAACAATTTTGACGCAGAATGGATTTATGGGATTCTGCCGCACATTCTGGTAGTGGTAGTCACCTTGTTCAGAACATTCAGTTGACACAGTCACAGTTGACATCCTCTTTCCGTTGACAGGCTCGCAGCATCATCTCCTCCAACCGACCTGAGTGAGGCAAAAGCACACTTGGGGGTTGGTGACTAGAGCCAGAGTGTGTTTCTTTTGGTCCGGGACTGGCATGGCGAACTGTTTGACACTATATAATATGCAACTATCAGTGTATATTATATATATGTATTATATAGTTAGCACATGTTAGAAAAAGATCGCTGAAAGGTGCCACTGACTTTGTAGATGGTGTAGGGACTAGAATTTATCATGGTCGATCGTCTCCCAACCAAAAGGCTACTGAAGCATGGACCTTCGATAGAAGAAGCATGTCTAGAAAGGTGCAGTGGCACCTTCGTGGACTACACCTATCAGCGGGTCTCCAGAGCTTGGACACCTACAACTGCCCCTCCCTGCAAAGGACAACTGATACAGACTGCCAGTGATTGGATGGCTTTTGTGCGATGGTTTTGGATGTGTTCAGGTGCAAGCCGCGAATCATTCGTCCCTGCGATGGTCCAATGAACATTAGATTTGGAAAATTTGGCGATTGCAGGTGGCTATGTCTGGTGACACAGGACATCCTGATTTATGTGAAGCATTGTATGACTTTGTACGACTTATAGCTGTACCATAGCCTGTCGTCGTTCATGTCTGTTATGCTGATCGAGAATGGATTCCTGGGACTGTTCAAACAATACTGTGACGCATTGCTTCCGGAATTGTCTGAAGCCAAGCGTCACAGTCTTCCATGCATGTGTGTTGCGTTTTTGGATTGTCAATGGTAATTGGTCAAGGTGATGGCAGATCCAATCAACACCAGACCCAAGCTAATGCGGCTGTGGGTCAAAAACCTAAAGCTGCAGCAACAACTTGATCACCAATGGTCTGTTACATTGACCCCGTCAACCCTGAGGTCTTTCCAGAACCTTCCAGACTACCATCGTGCGGTGGACAGATTAGAGTTTCCTTCAACGTTTACAATCTTCCTTCGGCTTCGTGGGATTTCCTTTCATTTCATCCGGCAACCGTGCCCATATTAGGAACAAGGACGCTACGAACGGGGCTCCGTGCCCGCCCTGCACCCAAAGAGGCCAGCTGAGTGAGACCGCCGATGTCTGCCGTCCGGATCGAACAGGGCGCGGGCCGCTTCCTGTCGCGTTGGCGCGGGCAGGGAAGAGCTGGGTATGTGTTGTCTTTCTGAACCGTACACCAATGTCTTGTCTTTCTGAACTGGGATTGCCTTTCAAGAACTGGGAATGTCTTGTATTTCTTCTTTTTGTTGGTTTTTATAGTGCTTTGTCCCACACCCGTTGAGGTTTGGACCATGGGAAGAAGAACAGAATCTTTGCGTCCAACGTGCGTTCGACTCAACGGTGAGGGTTCTCTCTAGGGCCCTCAAGAGTGGTCCCAAGATGTTCGTCTTGGAGTAGTGTTGCGTGATGTTGCACGGTGATGAAAATATAGGACTCCATGTTCATCGCACCCAAGATCTCTGATCTGAAGTTCTGAAGGAAGAACTCAATGGACATTTTGCTCCAACTGTGTCCCGAGGAGTCTGGCCTTGGCCTCGGGTCTGGGGATTTGGATCCAATCAATTCTCAGATGGAGCTGAGTAGGGTGCGTTCGCAGCAAGGAGTGGTAGCCGAAGAGCATGAAGTGCTGGGTAGAGCACGTCGATCCAATAGCCCAGCCCCGGTGGTTGACCTCCAAGCTTTTGAGTCTTTGTGTCATTTTTGTATTCGGGAGATGGCCAGATATGAACGCTCCAACGCCAAAGGACGTCAAAATGCCAGCCCCACTTGAGTGTCGAAAGCGTTGGGCTTGTTTGAGAGATGTTGCTCCATTGGTGAACAGGTTGGCTTCTTCACATGATGCTGGTCCGAGCTTTTGCTTGCCTCCAGTTAGACACAGTCACGCAGTCCATTTGCGTTGACGGCCGTGAACATGCTCAGAATCCATTGAATCTATGACAAAACAACGCAGACGAGCAGATGGGCCCACCAACCCCCATGAAACACACAGGAGAAGCATCTCGGATTTGTCGGCCCATGCTATAGGTTTCAGGAAAGTAGTCCGCACAGCGCACTGACCAGAAGCTTCTCTATAGTTCTTGGATGTTCTTTGCCCATGGACACTGGTTCATCGGTGTCAATCGGTGTGTAATGGTGTGTATATTCACAGTGAGGAACGTACCTGTCAACCACACCACCCATCGCAGCAGCTAGATGAGTGCTTTATTACATTCCTCCCCTCCCAAGATATTTGTGGAAGATTGGACCCCAGTGCAAATGTTGATTATATAGTTCTTTCTTGTTGAACAGCATTCCTCCACGAGCATTCCTTGTCTCAGAGATCTTTGGATCACCGCGCAAGCTTGGCAAGCAGTGTGGTTTTCACAGGACAGCCAGGCCAGCACTCTAGTGCCTCGGTTTTGGACAGCTATCCGCAGCCGCAACACTCTTGCGCCATGTATACAGTAGGCTTGCGGAGCGCCCTTCCAGAGAAGGGCCAGAGGCCAAAGCAATTTACCTGGAGGACTGGCCGTGAAGCTGAGCGATCTGCAGAAACCCAGGGAAGATGAAAATCGAAGGTGAGATGTCTCAAACAAACACTCGAAAGCCCTCGAATAAGCGAAACAGAAACAATAGAGACGGAGTTGATCGGAGTTGTGCTTCTTTTTTGACAACGCCTCTCGGATTGCGGCTATAAGAGTGGATTTGTCTTCTGTCCAGAAAATTGTAAAGTCCATTTTATAAGCTGATTGGCGCGATTTGGGATCTAAGTCGGATCCTTTGGATCACCAAGTCACTTGAACACGTAGAAGATCAATTATTTTTGACATCTAAGAACCCAATAGCACCCTAGAAGCGATGGCCAATAGAATATGAAGATGATTCAGATCAATCATTTTTGGACCTCGACTTCGCGGAGTAGACCAGATCGAGTTTCTTGGAAATTGCTAGATCGCTGTGATATCCTTCGAAATTGAGAAGCAGTTCTGTCCTTGACTAGAGTTCGGATTTAAAACCACAGTTTGCCCCGGAACATGGACATGAATTAGTGGGTCTTCGAGGACTTTTCTGATGTATTAATACATGACTATGTCTATCTATGCTCTCCTGTCCCTGTGAGTGGATTGATGTGAACACCTAGCCTTTGGTAAAGAAATCCAGCCTTCACTTGATTTCTCCAAGCCTTATAGGCTTTATTTTCGCTTTTAGTGGGCTTCACTTTTGACCACCATAGACCACCATAGTGCTGAGCCCACGTCGGCCACCGGAACCCATGAGAGCGAGAGCGAGAGCGACCGGCCGTGGCTCAGCGGACCGGACGGCGCGCCGGGACAGGAAGCAAGAAGACCATGTAGGATCAGGCCGCGCGCGCGTCAGCGAAGCCGCGAGGCCGCGAGTTGCGGTTGTGGGAGGGATTGAGATGAAGTAGACATGAAGTCTTTCTCGATCGGTAGAGAGATGAGATGCTGATGTTTTGTTTGGAAGGTTTGGAGACGCTGCAGGGAATTCCATGTTGCTCAACGGAATCACCAAGGATCACCAGAATCACCAAGAGAACAAGTTGTTTATATACAGACACATTAGATTGTAGCCCTTCGCAAGAAACAACTTCAATGGTTGTTGTTCCATGAGTGATTCATTTAGTGTGTATATATTGTAAAGTTGATGACCAATGTGCATGACCTTTCACGACCTGACAGGTGATCGAATGGCCGGTCGGAACATCACGCGCTCATGTGTGTGGTGGTTTCGGCTCGAATCCCTCACCTAGGCCTTGAGCCCTAGCGAGCCCGTGAAAAGGTTCGTTTGCGCTCATTCCGCGCTTTGCACTGGTAGGCGGAGCCTAAAGGTTGCTCCGAGGCTGGTGTGCTGCCATCTTGTTCGCCCTGCGGATTTGGTTGGTGTCCCCTCCCTTGGAGCTGGAACTTGGAGCGGTCGTATTTGTGCCCTTCATTGTTCGGTGGATAGCAGTCTGGGGTGATTTTGGCTCACTATTGTACCGGAATTGTCATTCTCGAGTACTTTGTGAAGGCTGGACACTTCGGAAGTTGCTGAGGTAATTTGGTGCAAGTTTTGTTGGCTCGCAGTATCACCTTTTGATTTTTGCACGATCTCAATTTACAATGCAGTCAAATGGGCAATCATTGTATGTTGACCCGAAGTCCAACGTTGTGCATTATGACGGCAATCCAAAGTTGGCTGAAGAATACGAAGAGCGGGTATGGCTGGGTTTCCAAACTGTGATGAAGGACGAGAAAGTTTCCTATGCAGCAAAACTCAAGAACGCATTGCATGGCCGTGCATGGACGCTCTGTCACAGGAAGCCCGAGATCGCAGCTCAGAAACTCCTTCAGCTGAGTGAATCGGATCCGAGCACGACAACAGGACCACGAGCAGCAGTACAACTGGTGGTGAAGGTTGTGAGGAATGCTTGTGAGAAGGGTGCTCCATTGCTCAAGACCCAGACCTTCGAGGACTACTTCTTTGAGAAAGGTCGAAGGAAGGCATCCGAAAGCATCCAAGACTACATCAGTCGCCGAGAGAATGAGTATGAGAAGCTGACAAGTTTGACACAAGGTCATACAAAGTTGTCGACTGATTTGCAAGCCTTTTTCCTACTGAGGAATGCTGGTGTGAGTTCATCGCAACATCGTGCCATCCTGGGACAGGCAGGGAATGAGTATGATTGGGACAAGATTGTTGAAGCTATGCTCATTCAATTGGACGGTGGTGATGACATTGGCAACAACAAAGGTTGGAAAGGCGGTTTCAAGTCAAGACAACAAAGCAGCTACAGTACAGGTGGCAAAAGAAGCACATGGGCCTGCCCGATAGAAGAGGAGTGGTCAAGCTATGATGGTGAGACGGAGGACGTGTATGCAGTCGATGACTGGTACCATGATGATGAAACAGCAGAAGAAGGAGTCCCCATCTATGAAGTTGAAGAAGACATCCAGTTCGACATTGAGGAGATGGAGCATGCCGTGGAGGTGATGGCAGTTGATGATCTTTCTCTGGAGGAATTGGACATCTTCGCCATGACTGCTCAG